GCGACAGTAATTTTTTACTTTTTTCGTGAGAAGAAAAATCACAAAATTTGAGTAGTTTGGCAATTCAGTAACAGCTACGATCTGGTTACCTAAACTATTAAAGTATCCCTAGAGACAGTGCCTATCTATGGTATAAAAGTTTCGGTGGTCAAAGGTCATGGAGGACTCCAGTGATATCCAAAGCTTTTGACGTCAGAATATCACAAAATCTTCGTCGGACGGCAAAAACTTTGACCATACAAATGACTTTCTAACTTCAGCTATCAGAAGAGTACTGAAAAATGACCCACACACAAGGGCCTTCAAGCTTACAGTAAGTACCACACGGTCACCCATCCGCGGAAAGACGCTAGGCTCAAAAAAATTAACTCCTTCCTCAATCGGCACGGGAAAAAAACAAAAAAAATCTCTATTTATCGATGAGAATTTCTTTACGACGGATAAATTTCTGAACCAAAAACTAGCTAGTTTTACATTATATAATCTTAAGGGTTAGCAAATTACAAAATTAAGGTTCAAATATCATCTTATCGGCAACCATTCATGATTTTTAGCGGAAATCGGCGGAATTGGGGAAAAATCACAAAATTTCCTCGATTAAGGAGTGGAGATAGTTTAAAAAATATATGGTTAACGTCATGGTGAAGAGGGAACACCCCCTTAACCAGTCCATATTGGGTGTAAAGCCGCTGACCTTAGCGCAGGGCTCTACACAAATAAATATCTCAAACTTCGTGAAAAACTGGATTGAAATCCATATTTCTGACTTTATTTCTACTTTAGGTTTGACCTAGCATTTTCGAACCGAAATCGATGTCAACACCAAATATTGATTAAAGTCGAGGAAAAGGTGTGTTCTTAACCCCGTATATGCGTCAAGGTCAGAAAAAATTTCTTACCCGGGAATGTGACAATTTGTCAATAAATTTCGTTCGTGCCGGGGTGGGTCCTTGGCGTTCGCGTCTTCAAAAGTTTGTCAGCACAAGGGGATCAAAGTTTGAAGTGTGACACATGTTTTCTATTCAAAATTTAACTGGCTTTCCAATGAAATAATAGCGAAATTTAAATTTCCAAAAATAAAAGCGTTCTACGCGTTAATACCAGTAACACTTTATCTGAATAGACTGGGTAAGTGGAAACATATCCTTACCAAAGCAAAATAACAGTTCAGTTTTGACCATTTCTCATAGTGTTGGTTGATCCGATCCGGATCGTATTTTTAGCTAATATCATGTCATTTCTTAGAATATGGATAAGATCCGATCCGATCCTAATTCCTGATCGGATCAACGTTACTGTACAATGTACATGGTCCATTAATCCGGTCGGATCGTAGGGTGTGATTTTTAATGATAAGACCACTATGATATTTCTAAGCAGCTCAGTTCGTGGTTATTCGAATCGAATGATATTATGCATAGTGGTGAGTGATATCACTACCAGTTTTGGTGGGAAGTTTGGGCTGAATAAGTTTGGAATTACCGGAGATATGGAGGAATGCATGAAAAGTAGGTGAGCCAAAATGATAAGACCACCTTAGAATTTCAATTCTCACTCATTCCTCCGTTAGTTCAGACGCTAAAACTAAACTAATTCCACGATGGGAAGGTAAAATCATTCAAGTACTGCAACTTGACGCCCAGGAAAAAACCGTAAGGGAGCTTTCAAGACGTTTTTCCCAATTAAAAACGGTCATTCATCATTATATCAAACTAGGCGCAAATTACTGGACTAGAAAAATTGGTATGTGTCCAGAAGTCACACCGGACCTGACAAACGGTAAATTGTGAAGTTTTCTTGAGTTGAATTGCCATTCACCCGAGAAATAGTGCAAATTTCAAATGACAAAATTTCCATTAGCACATTTCGGCGCGTTTTATGGAACTCTCCTTGCCTTAAGTTGTATGCGTAGTTCGGTAAACCACTACTAACGAATATTCATCAGCGGGCGACACCTTAATTTGCTCGAAAACATATTTCCTGGAAAACGGGGACGTAAGGTCATCTTCACTGGTAAATAGAAATGTAATTTTGCCGGACCTGCCGGGCACAAGTTTTATTGGCACGATCTGCGATAAGAACCTTCATATTTCAAGCATCGACAGACGGAAAATTGTTACAAAGACTTAATACCAAATTTTAAACCGTTAGTCACACGTCTATGCTACACTGCCTTCTTGTAATAATGTACACAATTAAAGTAGCTGATCGGCGATGGTTTATTATGAATTGTAACAATCCTTATGCAACTGCCTATCCGAAAAAGTATGCTATCGACCAAATTCAGGTCTCGCCCGCTTATGCATATTCGCTGGTGGTGGCTGATTGACTTTTTTTGTACCACTTAAGGCAAGGAAAGTTCCATAAAACGCGTCAAAATGTGCAACCGGAGAGTTTGTCATTGAAAATGTGCATTATATCTCGGGCTAATGGCTATTCACCGCAGGCAAACTTCATAGTTCACCGTTTGTCAGGTCCAGGTGTGACTTCTGGACACGTACCAATTTTTCTGGTCCCGTAATTTGCGCCTTGTGTGATATAATGATGAATGACCGTTTTAAATTGGGAAAAACGTCTTGAAAGCTCCCTTACGGTTTTTTCCTGGGCGTCAAGTTGCAGTACTTGAATGATTTTACCTTCCCATCGTGGAATTAGTTTAGTTTTAGCGTCTGAACTAACGGAGGAATGAGTGAGAATTGAAATTCTAAGGTGGTCTTATCATTTTGGCTCACCTACTTTTCATGCATTCCTCCATATCTCCGGTAATTCCAAACTTATTCAGCCCAAACTTCCCACCAAAACTGGTAGTGATATCACTCACCACTATGCATAATATCATTCGATTTGAATAACCACGAACTGAGCTGCTTAGAAATATCATTGTGGTCTTAACATTAAAAATCACACCCTATGAAATTACTAGCCTGGTTCTTCATAAACATCCGGTCTTCAGCGAACTATAATAGCGACTATAAATGGAGTATGCATTATCAGGAGTCATTATGCATTTATTGCATGCAGAAGCAGATTTTTACATAGCTACACATAAACATTTATACATATAAATATGTATGAGGTACGACGGCATTAAGTTCATACTGATGGACAACGGAAATAATCTTCACACACCAGAACGTTTGCATTCCTGGAAAAATAAATTAGGCCGCCCGGCGGTAACAGTTGTATTGATATCTCTCCGACACTATCTAACTCACGATAAAAGTGATTAGCTCATTTATCGTTTTAATACGGCACGTATTTACTTTAAATAGTTACATAAAAACAAATTATGTAAATATGTATATACGTTTGTCGGGTTGGAATATGTGCATCCAATACTGCACAGAATAATGTTTGCGTAACTGCGCATTTTCGTAAAAACATCATGATTCATTTACCGAAAAAACGTAGTTATAAACCATGATTACTTTACGGGAATGAGTATGGTACTTATCATCTTCAGGAGTATCAAATCGTAAAATCTCATAACCCACCACTGGTGGGCCACCAGACTGTATTTAAGCTGGATACAGCAAATTTACGGTTGATTCCTGTTCCACAATAGAATTGAATAGCACGGCCACTAAATTTGTACCCTACAAGATGAAGCTTAAAGTGAAGATAAGTTTCATCATCCTCATCGCTGAGTTCATAACCACTAGCGAAACCATTATTACGTCGGATGACGAAACCGGTGAGTGCATTGTTCGAAATCTGGTCTAGTCCGGTAGGAATTTATTTCTCGGAATTAAAGTTGCTAGAATTATACCGGTCCATATGTATCTACAAATGTGATAATTTGATATGGCAAAACTTTCATAAGGAGCTATTATTACCAACGTCTTACTTTCCCGTAAAATGTTAGTATGTATGTATAAATACCGTACCGTTTGGTAATACTGGATTTCTAAGAGTGTATAACCTTGTCCATATAAGATTTTTAGTTTTTAATTTGGTATTTTTTATTTGATTTCTGTTCGAAATTAGTATTGATTATTGAATTTGGCATTAAATAGTACATTTTTTAACTAATTTCAGTCATAGATAGAGGTGACCGATGTGGCACAGAATATGGTTGAAAACGGGTGGACGACCCGATATTGTAGGTACGTCGAGGACGCTGGATCTGTGGAATTCAACGGGACCACAATTCCCAATTTGCCTCAAAACGGTACCGGTTATTGGCTGCCGGATGGCTTCACCACGTGCAGAATGACTTATGAGCGGAAAGAGAACGAAATCTTGATCAAATTCGGTTTCGACGAGTATTTCAGTCGTCCGAATTACTACAGTATGTCCTTGATGGTGGAACTTGACAGGGGAGGGGAACCAGACCAAGCGTTCCACAAAAGCATTTTCCATATTTCGCAAGAGAAAGTGTTAAACTCGGGTCCTGGTGGGTATCCACCACCATAGCGCTGATTCGCGCGTCAGTGCCGTATCCGTCGCACTTTGTCAGGCTCACTCAATCATGCGTCTCATTTAATTAACTATACTGGGTTACTTAAACGTTGGCTTATCAAAATACAAAAAAATTAAATGTTAGTATACCATTAGCCCTCGTTTGTTACGGCACTTGCCGTATAAGCCACTCCCTCAGAAACTTTGACCCCAAATAACTCACGGTCCCAGCGTTTCCCTTCGGGCAACAAAAGCTGAAAATGTAGCTCTTCCCAAGTAGAAAAATCTGGCCTCTGGTTGCCCGAAGGGAAACGCTGGGACCGTGAGTTTTTTAAGGATTTATGTGTAGGTCAAAAAACCGCAAATTTTCGAATTTTGAAACTCTTGATGCATTAAAATGTTCGTATTCAAGGGGGAAGTCAAATGGTAAATACAAGTATAGGTCTAACTCTTGTGCTACAGGATGCACATTGCCTTACTCATTTTTTCAAATTTTCTTCCTATATTTTTATAGGGGGTGTGGTTGCACATAATTAAAAACATGTTATGTTACATTTATCCTTGTATCCACTATATCATTTGCAATTTCTTTTATTTAATTCGATGAAATCGACGCGAAAACCTATGGAACATATCCGTCATTTCAGCTCAGGGGAAGATTCGGCCATACCTTCCATAGTAGCAATGGAATTAGTCAAGCTCTCGACTTTGCCCAAAGAGTAGTTCCTGATAGGGTTAAGGTAATAATATGTGAATGTTCTCTTCGTGAATTGTCTTATCGTTGACAATTTGTGTTTATATTTATGTATGTATTTAGAAAATTGAGGCAACGTCTACCTACTACAACTCGCATTTTTCTGCCATGGACAAATTAGTCCTATACAAGAAGCTGACACCTCCTACCCCGATCCCAGATAGAATTGGTCAGCCAAATTATGTCACTGTGACCGACACCGCGGAAAATATGAATGGATGGCAGCCCTCCCAAAATTATGTATACAGCGAAGTCGGGAATTTCTCATGTAATGTAGGAAATGTTACGCTTAATCCAACCTTATTTCCGGGAGCTAAAGGATTTTGGATGGGATGCGGGTAAGTTTCCGGCGAGTTCACTTGTTTCTCTCATTCTTTCATATTGAGGGTACACTCAAAACAAAAACTTGTCAAATCAACACCGCCGGTGTCAATATATGACTTAACCGCCTTGGTTACAATTTTGAATCCGAGTTATGATGATTTTGATACTGGTAGTTATAATATTATGACTGGACGGAAAAGATTTCGCTACAACTCGGACTCACAATTGTAACCAAGGCGGTTAAGTCATATATTAACACCGGCGGTGTTAATTTGACAAATTTTTGTTTTGAGTGTATTCATTATTCCTTCGTGTTCTTATCTATTCTTATCGTACTTATCGTGTCGTAAAATAAGTTTCGAAGGTTATGAAAATTTTTATCTGTCGTAAGATTTTGTCATCGAAAATCGCGTTATTAAGGTTACGATTTTTACGAAGCTTGAACCCTAATTTTTTTGTAAACTTTGTACCAATGTATCTTGCGATACTAAGGATATCAATGCAAGCGTAACGCCCTCATCGATATGTATTTATATTTACACAGTGCAACTACTTTTCAGCTATGACAACTTGCGATATACAAAATTACCGTTGGAAAAGCTACTAAAAGTTGGGCTTTCTTTCTCATCGCCACCTAATCCGATGAACGAACCGAGAATAAATGTCCACACGGGGAATAACATGCTTAGCATCTACATCGATGCAAAGGCTGGACCACACCAGGTTATCGAGCTTTCTGATTTCGTCTCTCATCTTGACAACATAACGGTAAATATAAATATGTAAATACGTGCAGAAAACTTATTAGGACTGGTGAGCTTAATGGTAAATAATTTTCCACTTTCAGATGCTTGAATTGGAGACTTATCCCGTGTACTCGATTTATCGGGATTATTTTATCCTGGATAGAATTTCATTGTATAAGATTATTTAACAATATGCAATTAGAGGAATAGCTAAGTGAATAATTTTATTTATTTACGTAGCTACTTAAGTAGCGGCTATTTAATTCGGTCGAAATAATTGATGCATAACTTATGTAATTGACGAGTCAAACACTATTAATTCATCTCATAGATATACACATTACTTCATACATAGCGTAGTCACGTTAACTTGGCGTATTTCGCAAATTGAGAATAGCAACATAACTTGCGAAGTTTTGTGAGATATCGTAAAAACTATGGTATTTCAATCACGGCATTTACCCAGCAATTGGGCATGTTCTTAGGCTAGCAATGAAAATTAAAGAAATACGTGGCGACAATACCAAAATAGGTGTTTTCAGTGAATTTTCGAGATTGTCGAGATTTCATATTTTACGAATCCCCTTATGACGAAAAAATCTTGATCTTCACAAGTTTGCTAAATGAGTTTCGATACGAAATAAGTTGTCGTGAGTTGAATAAAAGTTATTTATAACATGTGAAAATAACCATTCCATTAATTCCAGTATTAAATCAAATGCTTTGTGACGAGAAGGGTTAACTTACTGACTTGCAAGTTTTCATTAGCATGCGCAGTTAAATTAACGTTACGAGTTTTGAGCTCAAACTTTCATCTCACCTTTCTCTTTTTCCACGTATACAATGTGGATTTTGAAACCTGTTCATCGTCGTGCGTCTTTATGAAATAAAAACGTTATTGCGTCAAAACATCTAGAACTCATAGGTCTGCAAAGCTAGAATTTTTTCTTCCTTAAGTGAATAGAATAAAATAGACTAAAATAGTAAACCAAAATCAAATAATTGCTCATGAAAAAAATAGGTGGAATAAATTGGTTGAAACAGAGGCTGAAAAAAACCTAAAAATTATCGATTTTTGAATACGTTACATAAAACCTCCATTTCGTAAAAAAAATGCACGGCGACGAATAGGTTTCAATATCCGCATTTGAATAAATACATTAAAATAGGGAAAGTCGAGGCACAAAAATTCAAGCTCAAAACTCGCATGTCGTGGGGCCTTAAATAAATAAAAATTCAAGTTGAAAATGAGTCATGATGGAATTGGGTACAATTCGGCAAATGATGTTACATACATACATATGTACATCCTAGGTAAAGATAAATAATAACCTTACGTATCATAGGTTTTAGAGTTACCGAATAGGCAAATATATTTCAATCTACTAAAAAAGTCTTTAAATTGTTTACGTCAATTGTTTTGAGGTCGTTGTTATTAAGAACTCTAGGATAAAAAGTTTTATAAAATTAGGGCACGTGGAATGACAAAGTTATTACACTCTTAGAAATTTTACCACCGGCCAGTGACTATATGTGACTATCGGAATACGTCACCGCTCGGTGACAGCTAGACCACTGCATGGAAATAACCCGCCACCAGCTCGGTGATACTCAATCACCACGGAAGCACACTACGGCAAAAACCCAGATCACCAGAGTCACGCTTATCACCGGATTTCTTATAGTGTACCTACATACATATGACCATTATATAAATTTTCATGTGTAATTAGGTAGCAATTCTTTCAATTTATTGCACATGTACGTACATAGTCACGAATCGTTATGAATATTCACAAGAATATTGATATTATGTTTGCTACATACAAGTTTTACCTATTCTATAGGAAGCTCTTAATCAAACAGTATGAGTAAACAAAGTTGACAAAAATTTCAATTCGCCCAACCTTACCTTGATTAATATTTTTTGACTGACTTGTTTACTCACTAATGAGAAATTGATTCTCTATATAAATGTGTTACGATTACATGCTGTAGCCGATATATTCAGCTAACCATTTTGTCGGTAATCTCAATGTATACAGGCGCAAGCTTGACTCTGCTAAAAAGTATGCGTATTGCATAAAATCCAGATTTTTACAACAAAAGTCCTTCGACATATCGAAAAATGTTAGGAATCACTAAGCAGAAACAAAACACTGAATTTTAAAAATATTTAAAACCATGAACAAAAATTCTAAACAGAAGAAATTCCCCCTGCTGTCCATCCAGATTCTCGACGTGTATTCTTCCACCTATGATAAGCCGTACTTCGAACGGCGTCCCCTGGCTTGGGACAGCGACAAAAAACATCTCATCCACAAAGTATCCGGCTCCTGTAAATTTTACTGGTTTAACGTATGCATTGTCGTCATGGTGATGAACCTCGCACTAGCGGCTGTTCTTCTCAGGCGGCAATATCTTTATGGCAGTAACACGGCTTGGATGGTGTCCTTCTTTCCGGTACTTGGAAGCCTTATAGTGAGCGCCATCTTTTTAACGGTGATGACGTCGTCGTATTGGGCGTCAGAATTGGTGGAACTCGTGGCAAATCTGGTATCTTTGGAACGTCGGCTATTAAATGGTTAGACAATAAATATGTCCGGGTCAAGTTAAATTTAATTCTCGACAATACCGTCTCAACTACTTGCTCATATTTGTGCAGTACTTAATTTGCCTTTGCTGACGAAGTATACAAAAATTACCCAAGTTAAAATAATGACAGAATATTTCTTTGGTATTTTGAGGACAACTCGATAGTAAAAACTGGATCTTTTAGAATTTTTTAACAAGTGGATTTTCGTGTTTTTTTTGTAAAAAAAAATCATTTTTTTCACAAACAAAAACGAAAACTCCACTTTGGTTGCTATTTATCAGGTGGAAGTATGAATCAACACGAAAGACGATAATTTTAAAATTTTGATACTTAATTGTGATACATGCATACACGGTAAAACCAAATTTTATTACCAAACCTTATAGAATCACTCCCACACGTCCGGAAAGCAATCCCTCAGTACAATATTCTTATCACAATGTGGAAGCTTCAATACCATTTGATCTACCTCTCCGGTTTCTACTCCGCCTTGGGAATGATGGTAGACCTTTGTCCGCACAGTATCATGATTAGAGAATACTTGGGGATATACCTTACAAAAAACGGGATCCTGCGATGGACCGTGAGAGGCGTGAGCTTCATAACCATGACCGTCGGACTACTAGAAAGCAGCCAAATGGTCATGCTAACAGCCTCTATCTCCGGAGCGATATTCCTGACCTGGGAGAGGATCACCATTCTCGTGGCAAATCTAGCCACCACGACACCGCGTCAATTCAAAAATGTGGCCTCGAACTACAGATAAATGCAAATTGTGGGAACGATAGGGCAAAAAATCGTTATGACAATTGTATCAATTTTGATCGTTATTTGGCTCATAGTGATCTCTGGATTTAACTACGTCACGGTCAAAATGTACGGAAAGATGCCGCTCGTCGTATACCTAGTTGCTCCGTACGGTTCTGCAATAGTGACCTTGCTGGTATATTTTTTGCTCCCTGCGTTCATCAGTGTGCACACGAAGTGGAAGGATGGTCTCTTCAACTTGAGGTCGGATAGGGTAAGAAAATCTGAGGAGAGAAAGATTGCTGCCTCGATACCGAAATGGGGCCTGGAATGTGGCATTTCGACGACTAGATTGTTCCGTATTGAGGAAAGCTATAAGGCGGAATTCTTTGCTAGTGTGTTTGACAACACGTTGAACTTGTTGATGTCATTTCCAAATCCTTAAAAGCTTAAGGCATTATTAGATACGAATACGAGCATACCGTATACTCGTATATAGTTATATAGGTGCGTATACTGTCAGTATACCAATTAATTTGTATGTGGCCGAGAGTCTGACTCTAATCGTGAATGAAAGTAAACGTATTCACTGACACAAATGATTTTACCATCATATGTTTTATACATTGGTTTCTCTAAAATGGTTTATTTAATCCAGATTATTTTCTCCCTGATCGAATATGCTTGTATAAAATTGTTAAGGATAATGTATGAGTTTTTATTGACAACATACAAAAATTAAGCAAATTTATTTTGTTACTTAATCGGCCGTTAGTTCCGTTGAGAGTAGTTCACAAGAGGTACATACATATTTCGATAAGTTTGCCTGTATAATTGGCTAGTTAAACACTTATTAATTCATCTTCTTAATTAATCCATTAAGAAGACTTCGAAAGAATTGTTGAAATAATTGTATACAACATAATACCATAATTGCATATAACTCCAATATTTTAATACAATAAATATTTTTACTAATTACTTGTCTGTATATCTATAATCATTACCACATAATATAAAATGTGTATGCAAATAGATATATGATGTAATGTAATTTTATGTTATGCTCTACATATTAACCTAGCGTCCGAGGTGCGGGGGAAAATAAATAGTATCTCAACCCTTGCCTGATAGCAAAGCTGATATCGTATAGCTCAAAATTGTATACTGATATTTCAACTTTGTCGACTTTTTCAGAAAATAAAAGTTAAAATCTGACAGACCACAATAAACTCTTAAAATTTTGGTCGCTTTCACCCTTCTCATCAAATATCTCGTATCCCCACAAAAACATAGGGATCGCCTCCACTTCTTATGCAAATTTACTTCCCCCTCATACACACTAATTAATATCGGTAACAATATCTGATGACTCATCGGGAGGAGAATGCACACAACCGGAAAAGCAACGTACAGTCGAAACGGTACTAAATTATACATCTTTAGCGTCATATAGTTAAACGGGACAGAAATAAATCCCGCAAATTGAAAAATTGCGACGAGTGAGTTTAACACGGCGGACGACCAATGTAACAAAATTTGAATTGCGGCATGACTACGTAGAATTTCGCGGGCATAACTCTGTATCCAAAATCTGTTTGAGATACGGTCCATTTGCGTAATGTTGTCCACGAGTGAAGTACATCCGACGGCCGAGCCGCAGAAAAATATTGCGAAGAAGCGGCAAATTTGAAGCATTGAGATTAGTGTTAGTATGGGGCGAAGGATGGTTAAGGTAAGAAATTTTAAGACGGGGAAATTGGCGATAGATGTCCAATTTTGGGTAGTAAATTGTAGAAATTGGAAGATTGGATCCATTTCGGAAAGAAGGAGAAATGCAGATGCAAGATACGGGTAGAGGCCGAACGTTGCAGCAACGACGTTAAGTACTGGGCCTAGAATGTCAGTTCCTTTTGCGGCTAAATATAATTAGGACATGATTAATATATGCAATTAGGATAAAAAAATTATTTAAAAAAACTTAGGTGAGGCTTGCTTAAAAGAGGAAAACCAGCTGTTATAATCGTGTACTAAGGTTTGGTTGTAATAAAACTGGCTTGAATCAAAATTACTTTTCATCCAGTAAATATTATTAGTCGCATAAAATTCTACAAGGTTACCTGGCAGGTAAAATTAAATTTTATGAACACAAATTTGGAAACCATCCTCTTTTTTAGTCTTAACAGTTTCGCTGTCAAAAACATGACGAACTTGTTTGAGTAATAAATATATGGCCAAATAACTTCTCAGAAAAATTATCGGACTTTTGCGACTAATAATAATGGACGAACAGTAACTATCTGTATCACTTACCCGAATTTCCTCCCAGTTTGTCCCACTCGATTGCATAGTTAATCATTCCGAGTAATTTATACCCGATCAGCGCAGAGATCAGTTCCGCCGTTAGACAAACCCCGCTAATCAACAGCACCACAAGTAACAACATGGCGTTAGCTAAAGGGAGGTGCAACAAGCCGAATAACTTGAGCATGCCGAGGGCCAAGCAAGGCACGATGTTTGAAAGAAACAAAATAACAACTGAACAGCAATAAGGCCACATTTTACGTGATACTTGATTAAATTCAAACTTTCTCTTTTTTGCGTTATACTCAATCGGATTGGTGAACATGAAACGAAAGAAAAATGTGAAGCGATCCAAAGATCGCCACATTAATGGTGTCACCACCATGACAGATTTTAGTTTAAGTGGGAACTTTATAAATAGTTTTTGGAAAAATATGTACTAGAATATTTCTATGATTTGATCTCACCCTAAAGTCGTGATTGTATTTACGGGCAAAAACTGCAGTGCATTTCGCCCACGTAATAAATAAATACTGAGAGAAATTTGTAATATTATCTCTTATCTCGGTTGAAACTATCAAAGCTACATATTTACTTAATTATATGGTAGTTATGTAACATGACTTATCATGATTAAATATATTGTGAGCTAATTGCTGAAAATTTTTGCGATTTAAAAACGAAAGTATTTTCAAGGAGACGAACTGACGAACATGTACATGAATAAGTTGATATCCGTTTAAAGTATGTACGTAAAATTTTGTGGGGTAAGAATATAGACTAAAAATAAAGAAAAGCTTATCGATCCCTCCACGTTATGCAGGGTCACTTAAATAAATAATTCATAGCTATAAATCTTATCGAACATACGCTTACATATTTACTAAATATCAGTAATATATCCTTGGATGCATTATTTCTTGATAAATATCAAGGATAAATAATATGTCGTATGTATGTATAACTCGATAAAACTGCCACAAACTGTTGGCTTTGCTGTATGTACACACATACATATGTATGTATAATTATGGAGTTTACGTATGTATTTAATTTTAGTTAGATACATACAATAAACTTAAATTCTAGGGTAGCCTTGTAGTGAAAGTAAAAAAAAATGCGAAATATTGAAGTCCGAAAACAAACAAATATACATATTTTCATATCTATGCATAAATACGTATATACAAACATCACTACAATACTTCCTTATGTAAAATCCAAACAGTTATGCTTATCAACAGTGCTTATCTACAACGCAGAAGAACGCCAATTTTATTGTGTATGTACAGTACCGTAACAACAGTGGTATATGGTGGTACCAAATACCAGGCCCGGGGCCCGCAAGGGCCCGGGGCGGGTCGCTAGCTTTATATCTCTAACAACCAGTTTTTTAATTTCGTAATCATTTGGTTAGACGGGGATAACTTTTACCCGATTTTGATCTGACAAATGTTTACCTGTTTTTTTTACGGAAATAAGCTGACCATATTTAGGAATTTTTTAAAAATTACTAATTTTAAAATCAAGTTACAATTAGGGATGCACCGAGTACTCGGCCTGTATTTTCACTACTCGGACTCGGCCGAGTATTTTCTCAATTTTGTTGGTCATTTTAACAAATTATTGTGTCCATGAAACTGATTTCAATCGTATTTTTCCCAGAAAATAATTGTTGGGTGACGATTCCCCGTACCTTTTTGAGCTTGCCGCTCCTCAAATTTGTCAGAAATTTGTGATTTTAGGAACCTCCGCGACTATAAAAAATTCTAATTTTTTTTATCCAATTTTCCTCATTTGTGGGAGGTTAATTTGAGCCAATAAATTTTTTTTCCTGAAATATATCCAATTTATGAAAAATCGAAAAAAAATCTTGGGTTCCGGGGAATGGTAACTTTTGTCTAATAGGGTACCGGGGAATCGAAACCCGCTAAATCCTGCGACAAGTGGGTTCCGTTTCCCTGTAACTTGCATAAGTAAAAAGTCCAGGGAATCGGAACTTTTGGGTGACGTTTCCCAGGTACTAAGTTCCAATCCCCCGGCACTTGAACCAGACTGCTTGTGAACATATATAGTGTGCCTGTTTCAGGTCCAAATGTTTACAATTGTATGTCTTTTATTCTTACAGCTGGATGAAATTTTAAAACTATTTTCAGCCAGAACGTAGGATTTTCAAAATACTGTACGTTTTCGAATTTGTCAAGAAATCAAAAATACGTCTTCTAAGAATTAACTGGAATTGAGTTTCCGGACCTGCATTTTCACTAATTCCAAATGTATGTAGTTGGCAGTTTTCCAAACGTTTATGATAGATAGAAAGGTACTTAATAGAAAAGGGTTTTTGAACTTGTCAACTAAGCGAAAACCATGTTTCAAGCTATGAACTAGCGAACTAATTTTAAATTATGTATTTGGCAAATACTATTTGCTCACAGAAAGATAAGCTGATACGTATTTTTGCGATTTTTTGAATGTGCGTTTTTTGCATGTGACGAAATTATTAAATATGTTTCTTTTCAGCGAAAATCCGAGGTTTTCAATGCGTTGTAACTTTCCCAATTGTAACTAGGGATGCACCGAGTGGTGAAAAATAAGACTCGGCCGAGTCCCGAGTACTCGGAAATTCCTGAAACGAGTATTCGGCCGAGTACCGAGTAATACATAACAATCGGGCAACATCTAATAACAATGGACACTTCCCAGCGTATTCTAGCTAATTTTGAAGATACTTATTATCGGTGAGAATACGTTTGGTGATATCCATTGCTAGTGCAGTTTATAAAAAAATCCTTAATATCGTCGTCGCTGATGAATTTCGACTTAAAATACGCAAAAATGTTACGAAGTTTGTTTTGTAAAACCAAAAATGCAGGAAAACTTCTTGAAATCAGTTTCATGGACACAATAATTTGTTAAAATGACCAACAAAATTGAGAAAATACTCGGCCGAGTCCGAGTAGTGAAAATACAGGCCGAGTACTCGGTGCATCCCTAATTGTAACTTGATTTTAAAATTAGTAATTTTTAAAAAATTCCTAAATATGGTCAGCTTATTTCCGTAAAAAAAACAGGTAAACATTTGTCAGATCAAAATCGGGTAAAAGTTATCCCCGTCTAACCAAATGATTACGAAATTAAAAAACTGGTTGTTAGAGATATAAAATTGTCGAAGGCGCTAAAACAATTGCACTGTGAGAATGAATTTCGGGATGTTTCTAAATTTAAGTCGGTGCCTAATTAAAAACGCACCTTAAAACCTAAAAAAGTACGGGAATATTTTGCATATTTTATGGTAATTTGAAAATAAATATAAGAAAATAAAGTTTAAAAAACTATAAAAAATAAAATTTAAATGAATACTATATAAAACATGTCCCCAAGGGTCGTTGACTCAGAGGATGGAGCGCATGTGCGCTTAGAGCCCATGCGCTCGGCTTGGTTTGACCTGCATATGAGGTCAGCGTTAGACCTAATTGGGCTCTATTTAGGGTGGTGGGAAAGGATGCCGAAAAGTATGTCATATTCGCGCATTTATCGATAAATAAATTATGAACACCTTAGTTGCAACTAAAGTGTTCATAATTGAATTTTCGCCGTCCCACCGATATTTTCAAAAATATGGCTGAGTTAAAAACGCAATAAATTTTCACTATTTTTCCATAGAACTGGCAAAATAGTGCACTCTTGATACCCGTAGAATATTATTGCGTTCTAGAATATGGTGCGAAAACGACTACATATCGAATACATATGTATATTGAACTTATGCAAGGGCCCGGTACTTAAGCTCATACCAGGCCTGGCCATTTCACGGTACGGCCCTGTGTATGTAATGGTATTCTGCACAAGTTGGCTAGAAGGGAAAAGCTTTGATTGGTAATTGACCTATTTAAATATGAGATACATATGTAATGTAACAGTCGGGTATTGCTAAAAATATGTATATTTATATGCAGTAAAGAAATTGTTTGTACTATTTACATTACGCAGTAGCCTTACTACATGATTCTTATCTAGATACATACATACATATATATGCATATTTAGTAATGCATGGTGTAAGACTATAAATAATATTTACCGTCTAAAACGGATAAGTAAAATAAATACCAACCTAAGTACTTACTTACGGAAGGATTTCAAACAAGATTTCTGGTATTAGTCGAACCTGATTTCTAAGGAAGAAGACCATTTGTTCAATAAAAAAGATCGGAATAAAGTAGATGACAAAAAATCGAAGTAGGCGAAACTTACAACAAATTTTTGCTGCTTTAGTTGTATGTATTTATTAATTTATCAATTACTTAATATATGCACTACATTAGCTAGAAAATCATTTATTAGATTTCTCGCAATTCTAAGTATATTTACATTTTGAAATGAAACATACATATATGTAATAAATTTCTTAATTAGAATTACTACATATGTAGGGAAATATTTAAAAGAATACCGGACACCAATATGTGTACATATGTACCTACAATGTAATACATTGAATGTATTACATAGCGTGTCAATAAATTATTAACAGAACTAAATACTGTATTTATTAAACATTTCATACAATTTGTAGTTCCTTCCCGATAACAAAGCAGATATCGTATAGTTCAAAATCGTATACTGATATTTCAACTTTGTCAACCGCTTTAGAAAGTAAAAGTTATACTCCAACAGTCCACAATACACCCTTAAAATTCTGGTAGCCTTAACCCTCCTCGCCAAATATTTCGTATCTGAAGAAAAGCACAAGGCACGCTTCCACTTCCGGTGTAGCTTAACTTCATCCTCATAAACACTAATTAAAATCGGTAACAAGATCTGATGACTCAACGGGAGCAGAATACACGCCACGGGTAAAGCGACGTAGAGTCGGAACGGTATCGAATTATACATTTTAAGCGTCATGTAATTAAACGGGACGGATATAAACCCGGCAAACTGTATAATTGCTACGAGTGAATGTAAAATGTCAGACGACCATTGTAACAAAATTTGCATTATGGCGTGATTATGCAGGATTTCACGAGCATAAGTGATTATCCAGAATTTGTATGAAACACGATCCATATTAGTGATATTATCCAGGATTAAAAGAGATCCTATTGCCCCAGCGGAGAAAAAAATTGCGAAGAAGCGGCATGTTTGGAGGAATGCGATTAATGTTATTGATGGTCGAAGGATGGTCATGATGACAAATGTTAGAAGGGGAAAATTGCCTGTCTGTGTCCAGTATTGTGTAAGGAATTGCTGAAATTGGAACAGCGGGTCGAGTTCGGAATTCAGTAAGAACGCGGATGTAACGTATGGGTAGAGGCCGAACGTTGTAACGACGGAGATCAGTGCGATTCCCAGAAAATCACTTCTTTTAGTATCTATAAAATTACACTCTTAGAAATCCATCATTAAAATAATACCAAGCGGTATTATGTAATATATAACTCTACCAAGGTGGTATTCATTAGCTATACCGTATGGTAATAGCTTGGTGTAAAAGTTTTATCATATCGG